CTTTTACCTTTTTTTTTTAAATTATATTTATATTATTGAGTTTTTTTAATATATGTATATTTTTATTTAATTAAAAAATATGTACTATATCAAAAAAATTGTATACTCACTTAATTTTTTGTCCAATGTGCATATTTAATTATTTAATTATTAGAATTATGAAATTTATCATTTATTATAATATCTATATGAGGATTAATGTTAAGATAAAATAATAGGGGCATTTTTTTACAGGAGGTGATTACCAATTTTATTTAAAAAATGTAACTTTAGACTGGGTATATAATTAGTTTAAGAAATTCAATTTTTTTAAACTGTCCATATCTAAACTAGTTTCAAAATAACCAATTTAAAAAGGTAAATTTTATTAGGATTAAAAGATAATTTTTGTACCAGTGAGATTTGAATGATTTTGTGCAAATGTATTTTAATATTAATATACAATTACTATTAGTTTTATGGTGAGCTGAGTTTGGTATTAATCAAAGTCAAGGCTAGTCTGATTACCTTAAAAAGTTGCTTATAAATGTACTCAAAAGTTTATAATTTACTCGTTAATGAGATTCTTATACTGGTGGCAGAAAAATTTGAACCCATTAAGTTTTGAAGTATGACAAATATGCTTATGGATTATACTATTTTTTAGTAAGAAAATCACAAGTTCATTTATAAGTATATTGCAATCAAATGACACTCCTCTAAAATTCAAGAGTATTTAATAATAATTTTTAGCCCCCCAAATTGAAACCAAAAAATAATCTCCATTCATGCGGGAATAAATAAAAAAATTGTCACATGATTAATGATTAATTTATTTAAATTAAAATTATTTTTTAAAATTTTAGGATTGTTATCAAGATTTAACGATAAAAGAATAAAATCTAAAATCATATCTAATTAATTAATATCCATAAAACCAATGAACATCACTGTCAGCAGTCAATATGCATGTCGAATGCGTAGAAAATCAATCATTTGCGTGGCAAACCCTCAAAGTGCATTAACCAAGGCCAAATTAAGATCCTCTCCGGTCATGCTTTCCCCACTCTCACCACACGCGTGTCAATCCCACACTCCCAATACTAAGATTCACATTATAATTTCTCAAACATACGGTATAATATTATTATTAAAAAATTAATTATTTAATTCTATAATTTTAATTTTGTTAAAAATTAGCATAAATTAATTTTTATAATTTTATATATTTAAAATATTAATCCTTATATTTAAAAAACATTCTCCTCATTTTAATTTAAAAAATACTTTTAAATAAAATTATACATATTAATAAAAATTTATTAAATATACGTTACAATCTTATCTTTTAAAATAAAAATAAAATTTTTTAAAAATACCTTTCACATAATATAAACATTAAATAATAAGAAGAAAATGGTAACAATATTGAAAAATATATTTAATTAAAATTTATTTTATCAAATTATTTTATATTTTAAAATATTAAAAAACCTTTAAAATTATTTTATAAATTGAGATAGAAAAAGTAAAATTATTATTAATTTGACTAATGTTTTAAATAATTAAAATTATATAAATTGATATATAATGAGATAAAATTTAGAAATAAAATTATAATTAAATTAAATTATAAGAAATAAGTTATATTCAAGTTATAAAGTGAAGAGACCGGCTTGTAATCAACTTAAGCATAGGATCAAATAATTTATTTTTCGTATAATTATTATAATCCGAATGTGAGATGCACTTTCTTTTGAACAGGCGCGTGCACTAAGGAAGTTTCCTGTTCCCACCCATAGATTATGACGCTGGAAAGCGAAACCATTCCCACCCTCTGTTTCTACATTAACAACCACTCAGTCCTTCTCTCACTTACCTCAACGAGAAGTAACCGCCCTCGGAACCAGTCTGAAATTACATTTATGCCCTTACCTTCCTTCTTCCTCCCTGTCTCCCTATATAAACCTGCCTTCACTTGAAAACCGTTTGCGCAACTGACTCCCGAAAACTGTGCTTCTGCTCTTTCTCTCTCCTCATCTCCTTCAACGTTCACTCTCGCTCTTAAAGGATGGCTTCTTCTGGTTGCGTAGCGTCTCCACCTTCGAGAAACAAAACGACGATGTCGCGTTCTTCTTCGTCGGCGTTTGCTTCGTCGTCTTCGAGTTTCGCTCCACGGTCGTCTACTTTCTTGACGCGCTCGTCGTCACCCACGCACCTCAGCCTTATTGGCAGTCGATTGCGGGCTCCGTCTTCATCTTCGCCTTCGCCGTCGACGCCGTCAACGTCAACCTCCATGAGATTCTCTATCGATAGGTCGACTTCTCCACGACGGTCGATGTCGGTGACGAAGCAGACGAACAATGCGGTGTCGAGTAACAAGAGAATGTGTATGTGTGCCCCTACAAAGCACCCTGGCTCGTTCCGATGCGCCTACCACAAGCGGCTGGCCGAACAGCAGAAGAATCGAGCGGCGTCGCCTGGTCTTCAATCCTCGAGTACGAGTCTCAATCTTCGGCGATCGGCTATGAAGAACTCTCTGGTGAGAATCGGCGGTGTGGAGGGTGAATTGGTGAAGAGGACACTGACCACTCTAATTAGACCTTCGTCGCATCAGCTACGACGACGAGAAGCCTTTCAACCAAGGCGGAGCCGACTCTGGATGATGTCCTATGTTGAAGTCGAGTAGTGCTTCTGTTTCCGGATACATCCCTTGGCTGACTCTTTATCTTCTTTCGGAAGATTAGTAATTACTCTGTTCTTCGGATCAACAACACTGAATTAAGAGTAACAATTTTGGAAGTGGTGAATATGATAGAACTATTTGTAAATATGGGGATTGTTGTGAATAAATTTTTCTTTCAACCATTGATACTCGGATCTGAAGAATTCGTTGATGCTACTATTTGAATTTGATGGTCGAATTTGTTATTTTATTTAGTTGGATCTGTGGTTTCTGTCCATAATTTAAGTGACAAATACAGAATTCGGAAGCAGCTGAAGATTTATTTATTTATTTCTTTTGGGAAGATGTTGAAAATTTACGTTCGCAATGAGGATTCTTGCAACTTGAATTAATTGATCGTGGCTGTTGCTTCGAAGTTTTAAATCCTTCATCTAACTCGCTGGTTGTTCTAAAATTGATCATTTCAATGCAGTCCATTGCTTAATTGCAACAGGAACTAGGAGTTAAAAAGAGGAAAAAATCAAGAGAAAAAGGTAAGATATATATTCCCGTTGTTAAAAATGCACTAAGATTGAATATTTAAAATATAATATAAATTTTTTAAAGTATAATCATTATTTTTTAAAATATTTTTATTTAATAAGTTATTTTATATTTATTTTAATGTAAAATATGTTTTATATTTATTTTAATATAAAATATATGAAAAAAATAAAATTAATTTAAAATAAATAATTATTTTATTAAGGTGAGATTTGATAAAAAATGTTTTAAGAAAACATATATACATATATCTTATATAATATGTTCAAATTTAACAAGTTAATAGATGATTCTTCATGCTTGCAACCGCCATTTAGATATTTATTATTGTGATTTTTGCATCAATTTGAATCTTGTAATCCTGAGATTTTAATGATTGTAAAATAGTTTTAAAATATTATGTATCATTATTTTAATAATTTTATTTTTAAAATAGACTTTTTTTTTATTTCTTGTTTCTTTCTTCTACCATTTCATTGCAATTAATATATATATATATATTATATATAATCATCTGACATGGTCACTAGGTATTACACAAGTAAATATGGTGCCGCGGACCAGGTAATTTTGTGGAAGAAGTTTTTCTAAAATCTTAAAAATTTTGCTCTACATTTTGGCCAGATAAATCCGGGGGAACCGAAGAATTCGTTGATGCTATTTTATGTTGGAATTTGGAATTGTATTTAGGTGGGCCTTTGATTTCTCGGTTGTTTATCATTTGTGATAAATATAGCATTTACAACAATTTAAGACTTGCTCTCTCCAAATCTAAAAGAAGTTTATTAATGTCTTTTTTTTTTAAAAAAATGTCTATGCCTTTTTATTTATGTTTTTGAATGAAATATTTAAACTGCTCTCATTAACTACATTAATTTCATTAAAGCAAGGGTATAAATATAAAAAATAAAATTTACTCAATACTTTATATTTTGAATCAAGAGATACTTTTAGAAAATGGTTTGCTCCCTTCATTCTTATATATAAGATATTTTTTATAAATTTATTTTGTCACTAAATATAAAAGGTGTCATGATATTTTTTAATATTTAAACAATTTTGCTTTTGTCTTAAAAAATGAAAGAAATATTAATTGTATATGATATCCACCAATATCGTAATATTAATTGTGATATTATTGGGAACAAAATTAAAAAATTATTATAATTTTAACTAAATAATAAAATTTTATTAATATGAAGAATTTAATTAAAAATATTTTATATATAAGTGGGAAGGAAGTGAGTATATCAGTATATTGTAAGACGAGGGAGTAAAATTTTCTGGGAAAGATGCTGAGAATTTACGTTGGCAATTAAGGATTCTTGAATTAGTACATGATTATGATCGTTGCTCTCAAGTTTTCAGTCTACAACTTCAATGCAGTCTCTTCTACTCATTGGATTTCAATTCACTGTAAAAAAAAAGTCTTAAAATTCATTAAATCTATTTAAAAATTAAATAATTTTATAATTTTATTTCTATTAAATATATATAATTTAATAAATATATTTTCTCTCAGAAGATAAAAATAAGTATATTCAAAATAAAAATATATTCAAAGTACTAGGTTGATAGATTCTTCAATCTTGTAATCTCATCTTAATATTGTGATTTTCAAATCTATTTTTCTTACCCGAATAAGAGATTTCATTACTGAATAAAAATATGAAGCAAAGAAGTAGGGTCTCAAACAACAAAATAGCAAAAGGAGACATCATAAAAACAAACCAAGAACTTAATAGTTTCAAAAAATAAAACTGCAAAAGAAAACATAAAAACAACTAATCATTCATCTTCTTAATCTTTGAGCAATCTCTAAGTAATCCTTCATAATAAGATCTTGCACAAAACTGGGAGGACCGAGGACCCAATCCACATGACGTGGCTCATTTAAAGAAACCTTAGCCATCCAATCAGCTACCAAATTTGCTTCTTTGGGAAGCCAAAGAAATTTATGATTCCTAATATTATTTCTCAAAGCTTGAATATTTTCAAGCAATGTATCACAACCCCATTCAGGTGGGGTCTTTTCTTTAATAATAGAATCAATCAAAATTTCATTATCCGATTCAAAAATTACCTCATCAAGTTCATTCTCGATCGCATAGCTTATTGCAGATTCCATAACTTTAATCTCAGCTTGCAAAGGTGACTCAACGTTGAGCCTACAATTCCATCCATCCAAAAGCCATGCATTTGAATCTCTCACTGCAAAACATATTGATGCAATTCCTTGTTCATCAGAAAAGGCACAGCTTGTATTTATTTTTATCCAATTCCCTATTGGTGCTTCCCACTTAATAATAGTTGAACTTTGCTCATTAGTCTTCTTATTATCTTCAGATTGATCTTGAGAAATCAACCCATTTTCATCACTAATTTTAGAAGTCATAGTTTTTGATGTAGCACAAACCAATAGAGGAAATGGGAATGAATGTTCATGAATATCTTGATCTTGATTTTTATATTTGCATGCCAAGATTTTCAAACCCTTTGGAATCTTTTAATCCCGTAATTATTTATGTTGTTGCGATATGCTGTTACGATTTTTAGTTATTGCAAAATAAAAGGGAAGGTAAATCTTATAGAATATGAATTTTCTCAAAAAAATTTCAACAAGATTAATTAGTGCTTGTTAATTGAAAAAACCGTTGACTATAGAGAGGTATTACTCTGAGATCTTTTGATTTCTTCATAATATTTTGTTTTTAACAAAAACTAAATTATACAAAATTCCCGTAAACTTTAAACTATATATTAGTAATCTTTTTAACCTTTGAAACTTAATAATAAACTTCATTAAACTTTCAAGTTTATACAAATAACATCTAATCATTAATTATATACCACTTAAATTTTATTTTTGTGTGCATTTGAGCCACTCAAACTTTGATTTATATATGGATAATCTCCCTAAATTTTAAGTTATGTGTAAATAATTAATATATAAAATTAATCATACAAAGTTATTTACATACATATAAGAGTTGAGGGGGTTCATTGTACAGCTTCAAAAATTAAGAAAGTTATATGTATATAGTTCAAAGTTCAAGAGAGTATGTATGATTTAGCCTTTTTAAAATGAAGGAATTGAATTAGGCTAAAAAAAAGAAGAAAAAAACGGGGAAAAACTAAAATTGAATTGGTGATAAATTAATTTATATTTAATACGTTGCGATTTATAATCATTTCAAGATGATTTTAAATTCAAAAAAGGAAAACAAATCTAAACGAGCATTGATTTGGTCAAAATTTTGTTTTAAAAAAGTTATTAATTAGTACTCCTAGTTTTTAATTAGAGGCCGTTGTTATTCCGTCATCTTTGATTTCTCCATAATTTTTTGGAGTTAGACTGAAACAGAATCCATGGGAAACACAAAGAAACAAAATTAAAACCTTATTAAATTAATCGAGAAAAATGACAAATTTGTGATCTTACCTCAGGATTTGAATTGAATTCTTTATGAATTTTTGCTATGTTTCTTAAACATAAAAGCTAGTTAAGATTTATTTTAATTATAGGCATAAGATTTCAATCTCTTTTATTTCTCATTTTTATAGGTGTAATTAAAACATTTTTTGCTAAACATGACTCTTATAGAGGATCAAAATTACCTGTCTTAAAAAGAATGCACTTTCCAGTAGTGACATTTAATTGAGGGAAGAATTGAAAAGAAAATCATTTTTATTCATAAACTAAGTTTCCATATTTTCTTAGCATGTATGCATTTTTAAAAAAAAAAAAAATTGAGCTTGTGTTGTGACTAACTTCTCTCTCTCTGTTTTTTTTTTTTTGGGTATAAACTTCTCTCTCTGTTTTTTTTTTTTTTGGTGGTATAAACTTCTCTTTTGCCTTTAGAAAGAATGGAGCTTTCCTTCATTGTCTCCATGGGGCTTTGATTGAACCCATTAAATTAGAGCAAGTGGACTAATCTATTTGAGCCCGGGTTTACAAAATGGATTCTCTTCCTCCGCAGCACCATTCCTCTCATAAATTTCAATTTTTTAAGAAAGGGGAATTGCATTAAAGGACAAAAATTGAATTAAACTTAAATAATGAAGGATTAAAATACTTAAAAAATGAAAAATAAGCACCAAAGGTTGTTTAGTGAATTGGTTTAAAAGTTTGCTGCTCCCATTTCATGATTTGGAGCCCTCCAAACAAATTTGCAAGTGACATTCGCTAATTTATATATATAAAAAAAACTTGTCAAGTATACTATTACTCAAAAATTGTTTTTCTTTACAGATTAATAAATTTTACTTGTTAATTATTGTTTTGAGGGCTGCAATTAAGAGTATGAGGGTACAAATCACTAGAAGGGGTGTCCCTTTACAAATTAATAAATTTCACTTGCAAATTCTCATTTTGGTGCTTGAAATTCATGGAATGAGAGTAGCAACATTTTAAACCAATTCATTAAAGGACCTTTGATTCTCATTTCAGATTTCCAAGTTATTTGATCTTTATTTAAATGTAATTCAATATATTGATCCTTTAATGTCATTTCCCTTTTTCCCAGATTACAGGGGTCACACACACTTTTGATTCTGGACTGTCTCTTGAGCTATAAGCTCTTGATTTATAGTTAGTTATACTATCATATATTACTATTCATGGTATTTACTTTATTTCTAGGTCATAAAGTGTGGAATTTTTAGAGAGGAAAAAATTGTATTGTCTCATTGCAATTCTAATGTACACATTGGTCCTATATATATACATCAAGAGAGATAAAAGCTAATAAATACTAATAAAGCCTAATTAATGAGATCCTAATAAATGCTAATAATTCTCAATAATAACATAATATTCCCACACTCCCCCTCAAGTTGGATCATAGATGCTAATCATGTCCAACTTGCTTATACAACTCTCAAATGCAGGCGTGGGTAGTCCCTTGGTTAGTACATCCGCAGCTTGTAACTTTGTAGGTAGGTATGTCAGACATACAATACCTCCTTCTACTTTCTCTCTGATAAAATGTCTATCCACTTCAACATGTTTAGATCTCTCATGCTGTACAGGATTCAATGCCATGCTTATAGCAGCCTTATTATCACAATACAATTTCATTGGTGGATCAACTCTGACTTCTATTTCTTCCATGACCCTTCTTATCCATAGTTCTTCTGTAATTCCTTGAGCTAATGCTCTCAATTCTGATTCAGCACTGCTTCTGGATACAACTCTTTGCTTTTGACTTTTCCAGGTTACTAAGTTTCCCCACACAAATGAACAATAGCCAGAGGTGGATCTCCTGTCTCTATAAGTCCCCCCCAGTCTGCATCGGTGTAAATCTCAATTGTCCTTTGATCATGCTTCTTGAATAACAATCCCTTACCAGGTGTACCCTTAAAGTATCTGAGAATCCTATATACAGCTTCCAGGTGTCTCTTCCTTGGATCACACATGTATTGACTTACTACACTGACAGCAAAAGCAATATCTGGCCTCGTATGGGATAAATAAATCAGCTTCCTAACCAGTCTTTGATATCTGTCTTTATCAATGGTTTCGTCTTTCTCCTTGTCTTCTTCTTCTTCAACTTCATTATCAGAGTTGTCTTCTCCTTCTAACTCCTCAGTGCCGCTTTTCTTAGGTGGCCTCTTCTTTTTCGAGATCACAATAGGAGTTTCCTTAGGTTTACAACCCAACATGCCAGTTTCCTTGAGAAGATCAAGTATATACTTCCTCTGAGATACATATATTCCTCGTTTTGACCTAGCAACTTCCATCCCAAGAAAATATTTCAAGTTCCCAAGATCCTTAACTTCAAATTCCTTACTAAGGATAGTTTTTATCCTTGCTATTTCATCAACATGATCTCCTGTAAGGATTATATCATCAACGTACACAATGAGGATGCACTTCTTAGCTCCCTCAGCCTTAACAAACATCGTATGATCTGACAATCCTTGCTTGTAGCCTTCTAACTTCAGGACCTTTGAGAATCTGTCAAACCATGCCCTAGGTGACTGTTTCAAGCCATACAGTGATTTTTTCAGCCGACATACTTTGTCATTTCTGCCTCTATCAAACCCAGGAGGTAAAGTCATGTAGACTTCTTCCTTCAATTCTCCATTTAAAAAAGCATTTTTGATATCTAGTTGATGAAGACGCCATTCAAGGTTGGCTGCCACTGACAATAAGATTCTTATAGTGTTCAGTTTTGCCACTGGCGCAAACGTCTCTTTGTAGTCTATGCCATAAATCTGGGTGAAACCTCTTGCTAATAACCGTGCTTTCAACTTGTCAAGTGTGCTATCAGCCTTATACTTTGGGGTAAAGACCCACTTGCAACTAACTAGTTTCTTACCTCTAGGTCTTTCAACAATCTCCCATGTTTCATTTTTCTCCAAAGCTTTCATTTCCTCCACAACTGCATTTCTCCATTCTGGTATTTCCAATGCTTCTTGGATGTTGTTAGGAATAACAACTTTATCCAAATTAGTGATGAAGGCTCGGTAACCAGGAGAGAGAGCCTTGTAGGACACATGCTTCTGAATCGGATGTAAAGTACAAGACCGAGGTTGTTTCTGAAGGGCAATAAGTAGATCAAGATCAGTAGATTCACATCTTTGTTCTGAGTCATCTGGCTTACTAGATGGATCAATCTTTGGTACGTCAGCTTCAGGGACTACCTCTGGTTCTGACTCTCTTGATGCCTCAGGTACAAGTTGCTCACTATCTTTTGTTTTCTTCTTTCGAGTGTAAACTAACAACTCCCCCTTTTGTGGTCTTTCCACATCTTTCTCTGTTTTCTTGTTTTCCTCAAACTTTGGCATAAGAGAAGAGGTTGGTGAAGGTGGCATGTTGGATAAAGGTAAGGGTGATGGTTCTAGTAAAGGAGACACGGACTCAAGAAGTATATATTCAGCGTTAGGTTCTAGTTCCCAAGTCTGAGATTCACCGATATTCTCCCCCTGAATTGAGGAATTGGAATAAAAAGGAGTTTCTTCATGGAAAGTAACATCAAGGCTTACAAGGATGCGTTTAGAAACAGGATCAAAGCACTTATATCCTCTTTGAGTAGGAGAATAGCCAAGGAAGATACACTTGATAGCTCGAGGTTCAAGTTTACTGCTTTGGTGAATATGAACAAAGGTTGTGCACCCAAACACACGAAGCGGAAGTTTGGTTTCAATGTGGGATGTAGGAAAAACACTCTGCAATTTTTGGAGAGGAGTTTCGAAGGCTAATATTCGACTGGGCATCCGGTTGATGAGATAGGTTGCGGTTAAAATGGCATCTCCCCAATAAAACTTTAGCACGTTGCAAGTGAACATGAGTGCTCTTGCAACTTCAAGGATATGTCTATTTTTTCTTTCTGCGACCCCATTTTGTTGGGGTGTATGGGCACACGTACTGGTATGGATAATCCCATGCAT